ATTAATGTAGGTAATTACGAAGAGAATTAGACTTTTGTAAAACAGTTTACGTGAGATGAGGTCACTTGGGGGTCATATGATACGAACTGGCGAATCAGGATGTTGAACCATGAACGCGTAGTAAATTCTTAAAGTAATGTCTTTTACAAATTCATTTTCTTTATTTATTGGTTTTTTACAAAATTTTAAACGATATTAAAATGTTTATACCTTCAAAATAAAAAATTCTTAGAACTAACATTTGTTAACATTTGTTATGTGTATACTGTATGTTGTCGCTAATAACATCTGCATGGCGAAATTTGCGCCCGGGGGAACGGAAAAGTACCCAATTTTCTTAGTAGGATAGCTAACAAGTTTTTTTTTTTTTTTTTCCATTTTGTTACTAAATTTTTAAGCGTTATTAAATATTGCGTTGTTTTATCTTGCACCACACAAAATTTCATTCAAATGCAAAATTACAAAATATTTAAAAATATTATATCTTTAGAATTCCCGATAGAGTGTTCCAAGCTGCCATATATATTTTTATATTTGTTATATTATTTCTTTAAGAATTAGCCGCTCGCCCGGATAGCCGCCTACAAGTGTTATCATATAGAAGAAGATTATAATGATTTTAATGAGTCCAGCTAGCTTAATTTCTTAAAAATAGTGACCATTTCTAATGAGACATCTCATGTTTTTATGCTTGTTTATTTTAACCCAATGTATTTAAAGAAAGAAAAAATATTCTTAAGGACTGTGTTCATTACTTTTAAATCTCCTAGTTTATTACTCACTAACTTTTCATTTTAAATTTGAAAGTATCGTAGACTGAATTGCAGTATGCTGGCGCGTGGAAAATAAAATTAGTTTATTTCCGGGTGCAGCAAAATATTGCTTTCACATAGCCGTGTGTGTTAAAGATATATAGCCCACATATTTAAAGATAAATATCTTACATTTTTCCGGACGGCTATAGTCTCGCGGTTGGACATAAAAATAACAATAATTCTTTCGAACGGTATTGCCGCTGCTCTCTCGCTGAGTTTATTAATAAAAAATTCATGAACGTTTTACAAAATACGAAATAAGAAATAATAAAATTAATTTAAAATTTAAAATTCGATCTTTCAGGTACACATGCTTGTTCAGAGAACTACGTTATTCAAACTTTAGTGGCTCTGGGTACCGTCGAGGAATATGCGTATATACATACATGCAGATTCGTCAGTATTTAATTTCTTTAAAAATAATACAGAACGATAATATTTGGTGGCAACAATTTGAAAGGTGATACGCCGTTTATAAAGAATCAAGGTAAAATCCCATTTCCAGACTAATAGCTCTTTTGCGTAATAAAAACATTTTAAAGCAAATAGTGCATTTTACAGCATTCCTATTGTTCAGACTTTTAGTATTTTATGCTACAGTTTGCAATAAATTACCAAAAATCTGTTTCCGTCCATTTCTGAATGTGACAGATAATTTGACAGAAATTTTTAAAATTTTTTCTAGCGAATTCAAACGCAGTTTTCAGTTTAAACTTTTAACTAAAATACAATGCTTAACTTAATATGATCCATAAGAATGTGTGGGTGTCCGTTTCGCTCGATTTCAGTTTTATAAATGAGTGCTTTATTTATGAGTTTGGTAACATTGGCAATTGCCACTTGAAAGGTTACGACAGGCTCATTAGAAAATAAAATCTCACTTTAAGTATCAAGAGTTTGGTAATATATTTCCTTAAAATATTATCTGACAGATTAAAGAACGACTGTCTTGAATGCCTTTGACAAGAGTGTTATAGCTATTAATCTTAGAAGATAAATATGAATGTTCATTCACGGGTATTGCTTATGACGACATTCGCTTAGAATGGATAACTCTCCTCTTGTCACCAGCTTTTCTGTAATGTACCGAAGACTGCTTGGTAGATACAGAAGGTTAAGGATGTATTTATGCAAACAGATACGAAATTTGTTTTGACTTTTATCTAAACTGTATTATCATGACACTATAAAATATAAAACCCATTCTTGGGAATAACTGGAAAGTGATTTATTAAGCGGGTTGCTTCTAAAATGGAGTGCGAAGTGCCCTAAATTGATATTATTTTCATTAGGTTTCAAAGTTGATTAAACAAAATTCTTTTATTAGCTCAAGTGTAATTTTTACTTTTTTAAAAACTACAGGCCATTTAACTGCATTTACACGAAAAATAAAGAACAAAATAATTAATTAAAATACTAATAAAAATTAAAAATTTCGCATGCTTGCAATGTGAAACTTGTTTGCAAATGACTTTGATTAGTAACATAAAAAGTCAAAAGCTATGAAATACGCAAAAATGATTAATTAAAAAAGTATAAATTGCGCAAGCGTTAAAAAGTCTGTATAATAATAATAAATTGTATTAGCCTTCTGCTGACCCCCTCTGTTGAAAGTAAAAATTATTTATTTGAATTTTTTTAATACGTTGTTATTCAAGAGGAAATGATGAAAATACCCATACAGCCAATCCATTCGTTCAGAACCAGTTCGAGCCCACCATCGGGCGAGTGGTAAAGTCCCTAAACACCGTCAGTTCATTGTGAGTTCAAAAACAGTCAAACGAGTTGACTGCATGGGTGTTTCATAGTTTTTCCTCTGAATAACGTAGTTACGAGCTAGCTTGCCATAGAAAGTCCTCCAAGAAGGCATTCGCCCTCTTAGCCAATTTATGCTTTGCCTCAATCAAATAAACCAAACCAGACTCTGTTCGAAATACTAGTATTCAACGGTCTTAATCATAAGATCGTTGGTAGGGTAATTTGACATTGATTCACAACTGTGGTGGTGTATTTAATTATGGCAAAGCACACTAGGGCTATCTGCCTAAGGGGAGGGATGCCTTTCGTGGAGGACTTTCTAAGGGAAACTGGCTCGTATACACGTTACACATGGGGAAAACCACGAAAACACCCATGCAGCCAGCCCGTTCGCGGGATTCGAACCTCGGACCGAACTACCAGTGTTCAGCGACTTTACCGCTCGGCCGCTGGTGGGCCATTGATTCACAACTAAAACAGGCTTAGGTATAAGTTTTGATTTGTTACGTAAAAAGACATGTTACTAATATTTTCTTTGTAAAATAAAGAAATATCTTTATTTAGATGAGCGAATAATATTATTTTCAGCACGGCGAAATTACGAATTTGCAAGATTGTTGATTGAAAAAGATATTTTTTTTAAATCACACCTCAATCACAATAATAATTTTATGACTTGCGAATAAAAGTTCTATCATAGACACTTCAAAAACCTTAACCCTAACTTATTTTGGTGTTTGAAGGGGGTTAAAAGATTGAAACTGATTTAAAAATGCATATAAATGAACACCATAACAAAATGCAGATTGGATGTTTTGGCATGTGGCCAATAACATAGTCTTTTTCTATACTATTATGCTGACATGATCAGTGAGTAAAACTTAGGTGAAAGTGTAGCATTAAAAGAGGAATTTTGATTCATAACATTTTGCAAACAACATGCACAGCAGGCATGAGAATTAGGACATGTTCGAGCTCTGGGAGTGCGACGGATGCTGCTCAATCATTCATTCATTTAAAAGCATTGCCATGCTGCCAAATAAATAGTTCCACTAAGCTGATTTTCGAAACCCTGCAGCGCTTGAAATTCATCATATCCTGCTGCTCCTGTCCAACCTATATAGATTAATGATCGCCGCATTCTGGCAGGATTGATGATTGGAAAATTTTTGAGTCATTTTAATTTATGGTTTCTACGAACCGCTCTCTTCATTAGAGTTAAGCTGATATAAGCCCATGAGCACTAAAATGATGTCTGGTGATTGAAGGATGTTTGGGAGAAAGCTTTTACTGGTTGATGCTTTTCGAGACAAAGGATTAGGGGGTTGCTTATGATTAAGTTTAACGGAAAATCATCTGCGTGACACTGGAATTCTACTAGAAGAATAAATAATCTTGCTGCATGTCTTCTAGATTTATTTTTCTATTTCATTTGAGTTTATCTGTATATATTCACAGCGGCCATTATGTTACTCTTAGTGAGATTTGTATACCTAGTTAATTAAGAATTGTAGTGAAACACATTTTGAAGAAATGCTGATAAATATCTTCAGCTACTTAATTTCTACCTTGATGCCACGAAACCCAACTGTCCATTAGAGATCGTTCTAAACCTTTTTCATAAGTTGGTAATTAAGGAACAAATTGAAAACAAATTCCAGGTGGCAAAAGCAACATTGCTTAAAAAAAAGTTTTTCGTTTGTTGTTGCAAGATTGTAATTGTAAAAATTGTTCATATCTCTCTTCATTTGCAATATTGTCCTGAGTAAATGCAGCCCGTTTTACCTTGTCATGTGGCTTGATGTGTACTGTCGTACGAGGGATTTGTAGTCCTTAAGCGTTAAAATTGACTTCTGTGGGAACAGCAGCAGTAGCTCTAGAATTATTTCTGTATCTTCGCGGCTTCTCCTTGAGCTACCTACATGGTGCTTCAAATCCACACTCTGTGTTTCCAAGGAGTTCCTGCAAAGAAAAAGCTTTTTCAGTTATGATGCGCTTGTCGCCTGGACAGGCAAAACATTCATTCATTACCTGACATATTAAAAAATGATTTTATGCATCAAACAAACTTAACGTTTTCTCTGTAAGTTAATTATATCGAGTCATATGAAACTAAAATTATTACTTACTTTTTTGGAACTATATACTATATGTGTGTATGTATGTATAATGAATTCTGTGTAAGAACATTAAATTGTTAACTCAAGAACAGCGCAAAAAATTTTAAGATAGTATTTATTAAATATATTTACTTACTCATTAATATATTTTATTACTCATTGATGGATTATTTATTACTTTATTTCAAACAATATTACGATTCTTTACGATAACAAATTTCTTGTTTCAATATTGCACAATATTATATGAATATTACAATATGAAATTTGTTTCAATGTAACACGATCATTTCTCGTATTATTACAGGGTATGGCAACATTGCGCCAAAGACGAATTGGGGAAAACTGGTTACCATCCTCTACGCCATTTTCGGTATACCCCTTATGTTCCTCTACTTGACGAATATTGGCAACATTCTCGCTAAGAGCTTCAAATATGTTTATGGTCGCATATGCTACAGACGAAGACTTGGAGATCAACGCCGTCGTCGGCAACAGCAATTGGAACAGTACCAGATTCATCACATAATGCTGCAAGATGCGACCTCGCCAAACACTGGAACCAATTCAATTGTGGATTCTTCCACTCTAATCAGGTATAACTTTTTTTCTCAATTTAAAGCTAGCAATTGATGCGACTTTATCGCAAAGATATTAAATTTATCTTTGTAATACAATGCCCACCAAGATAAGTCTCTTAGTATGAAGCTGAATTAAAGAATTTAGGGATAAAATATTAACTTTTTTTGTTAAGAGGTTGCAATCTCGAGAGAGAGTCTGTCTTTGTCACGTAACATTGCAGGATATTAGTTCTATCATTGCGCATGTACTGAATGAACGCTTTCTAATGTATCTTACATAGCACATGGTAGTATCCCGTGTCTGGCGTGCTCACAAGGCAAACCGGTGTATCGCAGTTCCTTCTTTCTTGAGACGTGTGAAAGTGATGATCTTCATGCTAGAGAAAACCACTAGCGAACTCTTGTGTTAAAGATCAGTTAGGGAGTAAATTACAGGAATCCTTAAGAAGCAATAAAGAAGGGTATTCATAATTTTGTAATTTAAAAGTTGTAATATATTAATATAAGAAATGGGAGAATAATGCTACAAAATGATGCAGCTTGGCTGCAGTACTGACATTATGCGACACATTATTCAAAATCACGTAAACATAGTCATAATATGTAGTTCTAAATAATCTATAAAAAATAAAACACTGCATTTTTTTTTCTGTTTGCGCAAAACTAATGTGTGCGGAATTTCTTTGAGTTATCAGATCATTACAGACACGTCAACAGTATCAGTGGATTAGCTAAATTAGTATACACTACATTTATCTAAAATTCTGCAGTTAATAATTTAACACTGTTGTTAAAATCTTCTTCTAAATGAGCTAGATAATCATGTATTAAAAATTTTAGAATCGAAATTGTATTGAATTGCATAGATTTACATATTTTAAAAAGGAATATTTACAATAAAACTACATGGTGATTTTGTAAGACTTGAATTTGACTTATGTGGTTAAAACATATCAAAATCATTAATTTAGGGCTGCACTTTTTTCTAAATCGCTGAAATGATTGCGTTAAATTTAATTACTTTTGTAATTTGAAATATTAATTAAAGATTTATGGGCTAAGAAAATGCAATATTCTTTACATGCATTTATGGATAATAAACACTTTAATTTTTTTAATTTTATGAAAAATGTAGTTTTGTAGTAGCTTTAAAGCATAACATCAGCATTTGTTTTGGGTATGTTTTTGACAAAACATTTGCCAAAAAAGTAAACCAATCATATCAGTCATATGATATAATAACATAATATATGTAGAATCGGTACTTACTGTCTAGGAATATAATGTTCGTAAACTTACTTCCGATGTGGCTGTCTAGGGGCTAATAAACTAGTCCAATTTACAAATAACTTAAATATTTAATGAAACATGAATAGTTGCTACAAACTACAAAGTAATTACATACATAGAAGGAAATAGATGGGATTATTTACAAACGAAAAGAAGGAATCGCATTTTCCAAGCAAACATCTTTGAATCGCGTCATCGTCTTAATGGCGGAATCCTCTGCCTTCGTCATCGAAAAAGTGAAAGATTTCCTCTCACAGCTTGTCGCGTCATCCGATTACAAATGAACGATGCCAAACCACAACTGCTCGTCCATCCTGATGGAATGCGGCCTCGCATTCTCGCAGCACCACTGTCTACATCTAGGGATCTGAAAAATAAAATTTAAAAAAAACAAAAAAAGAGATTTTTAGTTACTATTGATGGAAAAGTCTCTTAAATGGTTATTTCAGCTATCTTTTCTCATCATCTTAACATCCTCAGAAATAACGGCGTTAGCTCTTCTTAAATGCTCTTTCAGTGTTCGTTCATCTTTAACAGTCTATCTGACTACATGTATTTTACAAACACGTCCTCCTTTGATGTTGTCTGGAACAATTCATCTTCGTATTTACGTCTTCTTAAACATCATCTGTTCTTAAACATCATTAAACATCATCTTTCGTTTTCTGCGATACGTCTTCTGAATGCGTCTTTTTAGATACCGTCTGGATACGTCTTCTGAATGCGTCTTAGATATCATCAAGATCCGTCATTCGAATGCGTCTTAGATATCTTCAAGATCCGTCATTCGAATGCGTCTTAGATATCTTCAAGATCCGTCATTCGAATGCGTCTTCTCAAAATCATCTTCTTTAAGCCGTATTTCTTCATACATTTCATCCTTAGACATCATCTTCAGTCTTCTTAAATTAGTTCACGTCTTTAAAATAATAGTCCAAGTCCATTAGTCAAATCGGGAGAAATTTGTCAACCTGGGAAAAAGTTTATAATCAGGAATCATCAAATTGGTATTTCATTATCAAAGATCGTCTGTCCATGGTTTCAGGTATTCAGCACAGGTACTAGTCTTGAAAGGTCCTTCGGTAAAACCAGCCTTCTCCACGTCGTAGTGTGTCATTAGGTTTCACATTGGGTGATTTTTTTGTAGGGACCTAAAAACTTGGATTTTAGCTTTATACCTGGCCCTAGTTGAGTGCGTTTAATAGCTACCATATCATTGATCTTGTATTTACGAGGGAGTTTTCGACTTCGATTGTAAGTCTTTCGATTCTCTTCCTGGGATCTTCCGAATCTGCTCTTTCGCCTCTTTTACGTAGATTTTCTCTAGACTCGATAAAGTCCCTCTGAATTTCAGCTTCTATTAGTTCTTTAATCTTCCTGTCTTTATTCGGCTTTATCTTCGTACCAAACAAAAGCTCGAAAGGTGTCGAATTGATACTCCCCTGAAAAGTCGAATTAATTATTTGCTGGACATCATTTACGTGTTTGGTACCATTTCGTAGGGTCATCTATAGCCAACTTAGAAATGGACTGATATGATAATGGAATTCAAACCGCTCTACTTGTCCATTGGGCTCTTGGTAATCCTGTTGTGATTAAGGATGGATGAATATTTTCCTTAGTACAATAATTAGCAAATTCTTGAGAGAAGTAATGCAGTACCTCTGTCAGCTACTATATCGCAGGGATTTCCAAATAATGATTTTTGAATTTCAAGTTTAGCTATTACTTCTTACTAGAGGTTGGTTTAGTTGGATGTAACCAAACAAATTTTGTAAAACGAATCAATAACCGCGAAAATGGATTTATAATTCTTGTTAGATCTCTCCAAAGGTCCTAAATGGTCTATGTGGTAAGTGTTTAGAGGAATATCTTCTTTAGGTAAAGGATGTAATAATCCTTCCTTCTTTCCAGATTTCCGGTTGGGCCAGTATACAGGTAATACAATTTGCGATACATTTTTCAATTTTCTCTTTCAATTTAGGGATATAAAAATGTTGTCTCACATGTTCTTCAGTACGTTTGGCAGCAAATGACCTCGTTCATGTGCGTCTTTAATTACTTCAATTTGCATAATCTCAGGTACTACTAGTGCTTCAATTCCATTCACCATTTTTGTAAAGCACGTCATTCCGCAAACAATAATCTTCATATGGCTTAGACTTCAAAACTTCTTTTATAACTTTTATATTTCATCAGTTTCTTGAGCTTGAATTATTTAAATGTTATACCATCTTGAATTACCATACATACAGGATTTCGACTAAGAGCATCCACATGTCCCATACGGGTGCCAGATCTGTGTTCGATTGTGTAATCATAATCTTTGTAACATTAATGCCCATCTAGATATTTTAGTACAAATGTCTTTCTTGCTCATAGTTTGTTTGAATGCATTACAATCTGTCACGATTTTAAATGGTATGCCTAATACGTACACACCTGAATTTTTTAAGAGCTTCTACTACTGCTTTAACCTCCAATTCGTAGCTCGAATATTTACGTTCAATGTCCTGTCGTTTTCCTACTCATATAATAAACCGGATGCATCTGATTATCAAATTAAGGATTTCTGTAACAGAACCGCGCCATAACCGTCAGCACTAGCATCAGTGTGTATTTCGGTTTCTGCTTTCGGATTATAAATACACAAAACAGTTCTGATGTCAATATGCGTTTCAATACGTTTAAAGCATAAAGTTCTTTAGTTTCGAATTTAAATTTAGAATCTTTCTTCAGTAAATCACTAAGCGGTTTTGCAATTAATGAATAATTAGGTATAAATTTTCTGAAGTAACCAGTTAAACCTAAATAACTTTGAACATCTTTTACAAATCTAGGTTCGGAAAGTTAATTACTGCTTTCGTTTTAGAAGAAGAAGGATATAATTTCCCATCTTTAATTTTGTGTCCTAAAAATTCGATTTCGCGCTTCAAAAATTGACATTTCTTAATGTTTAGTTCTAGTCCATATTCCGATGCAGTCTGTAATACGCGTTTCAATTTTTTAATTCCCTGAACTTCATTTTCGGAAGGAATAATGATGTCGTCCATATAGATTACAACAATATTGTCCCTTAAAAGATCACGAAATATATCGTAGATGTATCTTTGGAAAACACTTGGGCTGTTGGCAAGACCGAACGGGACCCTCAGAAATTCATACTGTCTGTTTTGTGTCACGAAAGATGTGTATTTTCTATTTTCTTCGTCCACTTCAACATGAAAAAAATCCGTTCTTTAAAATCTAGTGTTGTAAATACCATGCTGGCTTGTAATTTATCAATAACATCATCAATTAAGACAGAGGAAGCGATCACGAATTATTTTTTTTATTCAGGCGCCGATAATCCACGCAAAGTCTCCATGAGCCACATTTTTTTCTACTTAGCATGATATTACTTGCGTAATCAGAACAGCTTTGTTTAATGATTTGTTCTCCAACCACTCCGAAATCTCTTTATCAATTTCACGCTGCTCAGCTGGGGGTAAAGCGTCGCGGCGAGCAATAAAACTGGAAGTTGATCTGTCAGCACTATTCGCATCTTCAGGCCAGATGTTTTTTATTTTATTCGGCTCATAATTCCTTACTAAGTGTAGTATTTCATTTCTATTGTACTCCGTCTTTGATATGGCTTAAATCAATTTCCTCGTCATTATAAATATCACGAATGCACATCAAATAGTTTTTTCAGGTTTGCAATTTTCTAATTTCGACTCCTTTTT